TGTGGAATTTTGGTAATTCTACTATAATTACAAAGGGAGTAAAGTTGTCCCGCGCTAAACAGATTTTGCTGTGTTATACGTTTGTAAGACGGAGACAACACATGTGGGTGTGGCGTCCTCTTAAGTGTGTATTTAGAATAAGATGATGACCAATGTATTTCAATGTAAAAAATAGGCATACATACCTTGTGACTTGAGATGATTTGTTGATTGGGGTTTTAGAAGTAGAATTTTTATTTTCCGGAATCGAAACTAAATCAGACCATCCTTTAGTTTTATAAATCCAACAATCAATTATATCATCTTTGGTATAATTTGAAAGACTTGTGTTTTTGATTCTATAAAACAAATATTAACATTTAATGATGATAATATTTTGAAAAAAAAATAAAAAATAATTTTTCAACATAATTATCTAGTTTTCCATTATATCAACTACACACTTGATGCTAATAATGGTTAACTATCTTTGCGAACATTTTATGTATTATTGGACCATAAATGATGTTGACAAAATTATGTGAAGAATATTCAAATATGAATCATGGCATAGTAATAGATTGGACTAATTACACAGAAAAATATATAATAAAGCTATGAAAATTTTTAAATTATCAAAAATCAGGTGGGTGATGACTGAAGACCAGCTTTTTCAATTTATGAGAGTATGTTTTCAAAGAGAAAAAAAACAACAGTAAACTAACCAGTTGGCTTATTCAACCAAGTGAGGTACTCTTTCATTGTCTCAGTTATGAACATAAGACAAATTCTCTAATATTCATGGTCACAGTAACACAGTTATCTAATAAAGTGGAGCACGACCTGTTATCAACTTTTAAAGTGGTATGACTAAAACTATTGTARATCTACTCGGGCATTTAAACATCATACATATTAAAATATATTTGTATGTAAAACATATTAAGATAGACATGCTAGAACAATGATTGTTATTATAATTATTACTTATTAGATATATAGTGTATTATGTTGTTATTTTTCAATTCCTTCAAAACAAAAATGTGGTGATGTCGATACTCACAAATATTTGGTAGGATCAGGAAAGTCTTTTGTTATAAAACAATCTTCTATGTATTTKATATCAAAAGCTGGAATTTTTTCATGAAAATAATTTGATTGTTTTGGGTTTGTGAGTACCATTGTATGGTCATTTGGTGTATCAACTACAGCTGCAAACGACTTCTGTAAAAATAAAATTTAAGAGAAGTTTGAAGATTAATTATTTACATATATATCATTTTTACTATAAATAGAATAGGTAGATAAGGATTACACAGTTTTACCTAATGCTTACTTCAATAGCTATAAAGATCAAAAATTAAATATTACTTTWATACACCTAATACCTAGGTACTTAAAAATAATWATTATTTTTAACCAAATTTAGAGTATTTGGAAATATCTTAAACATGTAGGTAGATTGAACCACATAAACCTAGGCATATTAGCATATTACAAAGGTTGATCAAAAACTGTTTGAAGTTCAAATAATTTAACAGAATTGTAGGTGTTTTGTTTGAGTTTGAAAGTTGAACCAAAATTTTAAAAATCAAAACCGAACCGAAATCAAACAAAGTTCAAAATTCTATRATTAATTCTAAGTACAAAAAAAAACTACAAACACTAAATTTTTCAAAAAAATAGTATTAATTAACTTTTCTTATAATAAAATTATGAAAATAAAATAATTTGAAAAGTCCAAAAGTCAAAAACTGTAAGTTAATAACTTGTAGCTATATTGGTACTGACTGATGGTCGATGATAACAGTTCCTAGAAAAGAACATGGTGTTACCAATAATAGATGGAATCCCAAACCAAATATACCACACAAAATTAGATGTTTCACTGAATAACCATTTATTAAAATTGATAGTTGAATTTTATTATTGTTGTAATAAATGATAACAAAATGAATTATAAAGTCAAAAAGAATAATGATATCTGGTTTGGTATATCGATGTTGAGTATCAAT